CGGTGGGCAGAGCAGAGGGGGAGGCGTGAGTGCGTGGCCGAAGGCCTGGGGCTTTGGGGGAGAACGGGGGATTTACCGCCAATGGCCATGTAGCGGAAGAAGAGCCAGCCACTGATGAGGGGCTCCTTGGGGCTGCGGGGGGGCTTGTCCATGATGTCCAGGTCGGGAGGGTTGAAGCCCAGGGCAGTGGCTGGGAGCCCGTCAGTCACCAGGTTCACCCACAGCAGCTGCACAGGAATTAGGGCTTCCGGAAGGCCCAAGGCGGCTGTGAGGAAGATCCAATGGCCATGTAGCGGAAGAAGAGCCAGCCACTGATGAGGGGCTCCTTGGGGCTGCGGGGGGGCTTGTCCATGATGTCCAGGTCGGGAGGGTTGAAGCCCAGGGCAGTGGCTGGGAGCCCGTCAGTCACCAGGTTCACCCACAGCAGCTGCACAGGAATTAGGGCTTCCGGAAGGCCCAAGGCGGCTGTGAGGAAGATGCTGTAGGGAGAGAGGGTGAGTCAGAAACCCAGACGGGGGAAGGCTGGTGCGTTCGGCAGAGCCAGGGATTCCCAGAAGAGGGCTGAGCCCCCAGCTCTGTGGCGTCTCTAGGAGGCCCCTGGGGTCTTCCCCTTCCTGGCTTCACCGCTTCCTTGGACTGAAGCTCTGAGCTAGAGCTTCCTGCTTCCCTTGTGCTCTGCCGGACAAGTCCCACTGAGCCAGACCCCGGCAGAAACGCCCCCGGACCCCGGCAGAGATGCACCAGGCTGCCCTGCCCGGACCCCAGCAGAGATGCACGGGGCTGCCCTGGCAGGGCCCCAGCAGAGACACACCCAGGCTGCCCCCACTGGACCCTGGCAGAGACGCGCCCAGGCTGCCCCCCCCGGACCCTGGCACAGGGGCATCTGGGCTGCCGGGACGGTGCCCTGTGCCTAGCACCGCAGGAACATGCCCAGAGCCGGCAAGCAGTTCAGTGTGTTGGACAGCTGGCACAGGGAGCCCTTCGGCTAGGCCAAGGGGTGTAGATTACAGCCCCAAACATTCAATTCTGCCCAGAGCCCTGCCGGGCTGGGGGGGAAACCCCTCACATTAGCCTGTCTGTCTGTCTCTCCATCTGACCTGTGTGACAGGCTCCAGGGGAAAGCGCCAACCCTCAACCACCCGTCCCCATCTCAGCCCCCAGCCCAGCAAGCCGCTGGGTCTCTGCTGAGCCTCTAGCACAGGGAGGGACACTATTACCCTACAACTTCTCACTGAGGGTATGTCTACACTACCACCCTAGTTCGAACTAGGGTGGTTAATGTCGTCAGACGAACTTGCAAATGAAGACCGGGATTTGATTTTCCCAGGCTTCATTTGCATGTTGCCGGGCGCCGCCATTTTTAAATGTCCGCTAGTGCGGACTCCGTGCCCGCGGCTACACGCAGCATGAACTAAATAGTTCGGACTAGGCTTCCTATTCCGAACTATCTGTACGCCTCGTGGAACGAGGTGTAACGGTAGTTCGAATTAGAAAGCCTAATTCGAACTACCTACTCCGTGCCGCGTGTAGCTGCGGGCACGGAGTCCGAACTACCAGGGATTTAAAAATGGTGGCGCCCGGCAAGATGCAAATGAAGCCCAGGATATTTAAACCCCGGGCTTCATTTGCAACTTCGATAGACTACATTAACCACCCTACTTCGAACTTGGGTGGTAGTGTAGACATACCCTCAGTGAGGTGAGGCACATTCTACTCTGCCGAAAGTGAAGTTATCCCCAAGCATGCACAATACAGGGGAAACTGAGGCCCACATGGGACTCAACACAAACTACAGAAAATACTTGTTTCGTTACACAAGGCCAGCGCAGCTGGGGAGATGGAGGACCAAGGCTGGTGTGGCCGGGGAGGAGGATGGAGAACTGAGGCTGGCACGACCAGAGAGGATGGAGGACCAAGGCCGGTGCGGTTGGGGGGGATGTAGGACTGAGGCCAGTGTGGCCAGGGAGGATGGAGGACCGAGGCCGGCGCGGCTGGGGGGGATGTAGGACTGAGGCCAGTGTGGCCAGGGAGGATGGAGGACCGAGGCCGGCGCGGCTGGGGGGGATGTAGGACTGAGGCCAGTGTGGCCAGGGAGGATGGAGGACCGAGGCCGGCGCGGCTGGGGGGGATGTAGGACTGAGGCCAGTGTGGCCAGGGAGGATGGAGGACCGAGGCCGGCGCGGCTGGGGGGGATGTAGGACTGAGGCCAGTGTGGCCAGGGAGGATGGAGGACCGAGGCCGGCGCGGCTGGGGGGGATGTAGGACTGAGGCCAGTGTGGCCAGGGAGGATGGAGGACCGAGGCCGGCGCGGCTGGGGGGGATGTAGGACTGAGGCCAGTGTGGCCGGGGAGGATGGAGGACCGAGGCTGGCGCGGCTGGGGAGATGGAGAACCAAGGCCGACGGGGCTGGGAGGGCTGGAGGACCGAGGCCAGCAGGGCCGGGGAGAAGAATGGACCAGCAAGGCTGGCGTGGCTGGGGAGGAGGATAGAGAACTGAGGCCGGCATGACCAGAGAGGATGGAGGACTGAGGCCAGCACAGCCTGGGGGGATGGAGGACTGAGGCCAGTGTCACAAATCATGGGTAGTTGAATGGTCCGTATGAGTGAATCCATAGCAAGGGAGCTGAAGAGACTATTATGGAGCATGGCAGAAAGGGATCTAGGGGTCATAGTGGACCACAAGTTGAATATGAGTCAACAGTGTGATGCTGTTGCAAAAAAAGCAAATATGATTCTAGGTTGTATCAACAGGTGTGTTGTAAGCAAAACTCGTGAAGTCATCCTGCCGCTCTACTCTGCACTAGTTAGGCCTCAGCTGGAGTACTGTGTCCAGTTCTGGACGCCACATTTCAAGAAAGATGTGGAGAAATTGGAAAGGGTACAGAGAAGAGCAACAAGAATGATTAAAGGTTTAGAGAACATGACCTATGAAGCCAGGCTTCATGAACTGGGCTTGTTAAGTTTGGAAAAAAGAAGATTAAGGGGGGACATGATAGCGGCTTTCAAATATCTAAAAGGGTGTCACAAGGAAGAAGGAGAAAATTTGTTCCTCTTGGTTTCTGAGGACAGGACAAGGAGTAATGGGCTTAAAGTGCAGCAGTGACAGGAGAAGGGAGGAAGGAGAAAATTTGTTCCTCTTGGTTTCTGAGGACAGGACAAGGAGTAATTGGCTTAAAGTGCAGCAGGGGAGGTTTAGATTGGACATTAGGAAAAAATTCCTAACTGTCAGGGTGGTCAAATATTGGAATAAATTGCCAAGGGAGGTGGTGGAATCTCCCTCTCTGGAGATATTTAAGAACAGGTTAGATAGACATCTGTCAGGGATGGTGTAGACGGAGCTTGGTCCTGCCTTGAGGGCGGGGGGCTGGACTCGATGACCTCTCGAGGTCCCTTCCAGTCCTATTATTCTATGATTCTATGGACTTGTTTGGTCCAGGCAAAACCCTGGAGGATTATGGACTTGTTTACAAATTCAAGAAAAAGAACTGAGAGATAAAGAACTGTCTATGCATGCGGAGGCAGCGGTCCCAGCATTGCCAGATAAGAAAAAGTAACAAGGGAAGGGTCTAACCAAGGACAGACCATTGTTTCTCAGTCACGGTGAGACAAGTGGTGCAAAAACTGGACATTTCTGGATTAGTCGTGGACACACCAGTAAGGAGAAGGGGGTGTCACTAATGGACATCACCCCACCTGGACTGTGTGCAACCAGTGGATGGCCCCTGCCGAGGGGTATATACCACACCATTTTGCCCCATAAGTTGGAGTCCATCGATTCAGCATATTGGGGTGATGTGCACGTCGGACTTCCGCCTCAACCAAATTAACCGACATTACTCAGGGGTGAGTGTGAGTGTGTGTGTGTGTGTGTTAAACTGGATTAAGAATTAGACTGCTAAACTGGGTCAAGGATTAGATGTAGCTTGTTAGTTATTCCATTTAAATGTTGCTTTTAATGCCTTTGAATGCTTATGATGCCTTTAATGTCTTTTAATGCTGTTTTAATTGCTTAGTACTATATATATATATATATATATATATATATATATATATATATATATATATATATATATATATATATATATATATATATATATATATATATATATATATATATATATATATATATATATATATATATATATATATATATATATATATATATATATATATATATATATATATATATATATATATATATATATATATATATATATATATATATATATATATATATATATATATATATATATATATATATATATATATATATATATATATATATATATATATATATATATATATATATATATATATATATATATATATATATATATATATATATATATATATATATATATATATATATATATATATATATATATATATATATATATATATATATATATATATATATATATATATATATATATATATATATATATATATATATATATATATATATATATATATATAGAGAGAGAGAGAGAGAGAGAGAGAGAGAGAGAGAGAG